GTGAGGTAGCTAGAAATAGTTATCTGTCCTATCTCAATCGTCTCACCTCTGGAGTATATGAAGCATTAGTCCATACAATGCAGATGTCCTCAATGTAGTCACGTGACCACTTTGGTTTGCGTGGCCTGTGCTCATACTATACTAAGTCTGAATGATGTAAAATATGATTTTTCTTTCACATTGTAGCAGAAATCAGAGGGTTGGATGAGAAGAAATGCCTGGTTCATGGCCCGTCAACAGGTGGCAGCACTGACACGCTGTGCATGTTCTCCTCCATCAGTCTTATTCTACTCTCTATGAGATGGGGGCCCGCTGCTGGACCCTCGTCGGTGTGATTTAGGCAACATGCTGCCATTGGGTTCATGACAGCTTCCGGTGTTTCAAGTTCTTAGTGGCAATCTCTGTGACGCACTGCAAGGGTGGCAAGGGGGCAATATCTGAAAGGTGTGGCCGGCCCGGGGAGAGCATCTGATCAGCTTCCCCGGGAACCTGATGGAAGCCTATCTACGCTCTGCGTTACCCCACCACCAACACCACTAAACTTTACCCCCAACTCCGATGGCTTTCCCCCAATTATATTACAAAAACTAGAATGGAAGCTCCAAATGCTTACCTGAACCTGCAGTCACGTGACACGCCAGTCCCCGAGTCGTCTTTCTTCTGGGGGCTCCTTCTCTGGTTGGTGACATGGGCACTTCCTATTGTGTCCATCGGTGGGGTCCTCAGTGTCCTGAAGACTCCAAAGGTTGGTTTGATGACAAGGGACAAGACCAGTCAGCAACGGGCCTGGACTGCAGCGGTCCATCACCTGTCTTCACTCCAGGACAAGCGGGTGGGGGGTGTCACTTGATGGCAGTAAGTTGAAAAAAATGGATTTTGAATGTTGATGGTGAATGGGTCGGAGCGTGGGGGTGGGGGGGAGTGTGGGGGTTTCAAGGACAATCAGCAAGAAATTTCTGACCCATGCGACCATGTAAAATGTTTTCGGTCACATTTTTAATATTCTGGGACAGAGGAAGGTTTGTGGGCAATGGGCTGATGGCAAGCCATTGAGAGGCCGAAACTCACCACCGTTCCCCATCCACCATAAACTCCAGACTTTGCTTCTTGTGACTTACGTCTCCGAGGTCATCACTTTGCATCCAATGAAGATGAAGCCCAACTCAACTTTGAGTAGACCGATACAAAAAAAAAATGGCCCCATAAAAAAGTTCAACTATCACTGCAATACTCACCTACTCTACACCACAGAATGTCCTCTCTGTCTTGCTGCAGTCGCTGGTCTGCTGGATTGAATGACGCCAGTCATTCAACCTATTTCCTGTGAGCCTAGTGCATCAGAGTATCGTCATCATGACCTGGGCTCACCGTATGAGGCCTACATCATTACATGAGGCACCATTCAGTGCAGCAACAAGGACAACCCAAAGCCGGAGGGAAGAGTAGGACGAAGAGAACTCATGTCACGTGTCATGTGACCGAGGAGAAGACAGCTGGAAACCAGGTATGTATATTAAAAAATATTGTGGGGGATGGGGTCAAGAGGGGGCTATTGCTGCACCCTTTAAGAGCATGTTCTGGGCATTATTTCTGTGTTTTATGTATTGAATGCTTCCCATCTGGTCACAAGTCATAGACATCGAGCATTTACTTCTCATTCTACCCTCGGAAATCGTCATTCATCTACATTGTTCTGTTGTTAGCACTGTTCTCACAAATTGAAATTTCCATCACTGAAAACACCTCGAGCAAGCTCTGATGGCTTCATGACCCCCATGTTCCTGTTCCCTCTCCATCTTTTGCCAAATATTAACCATCGCAGTTACATACCCTGTTTTAGCAAAGTTGGTCCAGTAGGTCATGACTACAGCACTCAACATGACGTCATTCTTGGAGAAATTGCAGGGGAATAAATCTGTAGGGCCCACCATCGGGACGCCAAAAACGTAGGGCAACTCGTCGCCGTGGGCAGCATCGGACCAGGCTGGTTTCATCAAGCTCTGACAGTGATGGTAAAAGGCATAAAAATAAGTCGGCGAGCCGTAACGAGCGTGTAAATCGGCGGTCACCACCGACGGCTCCACCCACTGGTGGTCAGTGAACAAAGCCACCAACGTTTTGCGTCGAGTCTCTGGATTGTCCCGGTCCGCCCAATCCGTGTACATGAACTTGATGGTCTCGCGAAGCGTGTCCTTGCCTTCCGGGTACCCATACAGGTTGTCCACAAAGTTAGACACTGAGTAGTCGAAGTCGCTTCCAGAGACGCCGTCTTCTGCGTCCACCACGTTCTCCACAAACTTGAGCCCCTCCCCTTGGTTGACCCCCAGCATTATATCGTAGTTGAGGAACTCTCCTTGCTCCATGAGGATCTCCGGGTCATCTGGAATGACATCGCCATCGATGACAGGTCCAAAGGCGACGTGATACCGGGCCGGCTGGATATCTTGCTCCACCAGTTCTTTGGCCGTTTTCTGGCGCAAGCAGTCCACCATGTCGACGGTGTCTAGCACGTTGCAGCCCACTTTCTCGGCCAGTAGTCGCGTGTACTTCACGGGTTGGTAATTGACGGCCCAGCTGGAAAGAGCTGATCCGCTTTGTATGATCGCTCTCTGGAACAGACCTGTCACAGAAGACCAGATTTAATCATATGCACCAAGCATGACCTATCTAGCAGTCAAGGCATTTGTATTTCACACCGGGTCAACTCCACTTCCTGCCCAGCTGGTCTCAGTGTGTGCCAGGGAAGAAAACGAAGCACAAGAGGATCATTCTAAAGACGGGAGGGGATGGAGGAAAATGAATGGAGTGAGAGAAGAGGGACAGGGAGAGAGCCAGAGAAAACAAAGAGTACAAAGACTGGGAAATGAAGTGTGAGAAATAGGTAACACCGCAGAGGAACCACTCGCCCTACTACCGAAACTACACCATCATATCAATGTAAGCGACCAGCAAACAGTCGCAGCGTCACACACGACAGATACAGAAACATATGAGACAAGGAAGCCGAAGAAACACAAAAATAAAAAAGAAATTGCGTAAGAGACCCAAGCCGGCCACACGCCACTCCCATTTCCCTTAGATTTGGCCTGTTAGATCAGCGTCTGACAACTTAGGAGGTATAGGTGGCCTCAACTGCGGCCCCTGACATCACCAAGGGCCCCAAGCCTACTACAGAAATTGTGATATAGAATGTCTATGATCAGAAAGGGGGACTTTCTATGGTATGCACATATTTGACCCCAACACGTGAATGAAACCATCTGAGAGAGAATTTTTCAACTTTGGCAAATCCTCCAGACTAGAACCATAGGGAAGAGGTCAAACATCTCATGGTGACATGTCATACATCACAGATTATCTTGCATATGGTAGTTCTCGTCCACTTTTTCAAGGATGCGTATGCATTTCAGATGATAATCTCATGTAGAGGATGCCAACAAGGTGTTTAATGTGAATGTGAATCTTTAAACTTTGGCACAGTATGAAAAGAGCTTCAGGATAAGGTTGGTCAAAATTAAAGGGGCCCCCCTGTCTGACACCGGTAACTGTATGTCAGAGGCGAAAGAGAGAGGAAGTATCCACCTTTAATTCTTTCATTATTCAATGTTGTTCTATATATTAGTAATAATGCTAGAGAAGACTGCCAGAGACTGAGGACATCCTAGAGGAGATGGTCTGAGCCTGCAAAGAGCCTACAGGAGATGTTCAGAGACTGTGGACATTCTAGAGGAGATGGTCTGAGCCTGCAAACAGCCTACATGAGATGTTCAGAGACTGTGGACCTTCTAGAGGAGATGGTGTGAGCCTGAAAACAGCCTACAGGAGATGTTCAGAGTCTGAGGACATCCTACAGGAGATGTTCAGAGACTGTGGACAGCCTAGAGATGTTCAGAGCTTGCGGACAGCCTACATCAGATGTTCAGAGACTGTGGACATCCTGGAGGAGAGGTTCAGGGCCTACAGATGTTGAGAGACTGTGGAAATCCTAAAGGAGATGTTCAGAGTCTGAGGACATCCTACAGGAGCTTTATGTGGAAGTGCAACACTACATTGTCAAAGATTGTTGACGTGCTACACTCTCCTCCCTCCAGCACTCCAACTCCCTCTACAGTCCAACGATGGCGGTCATCTTTGGCTAAAGCATCAGTCATGCCATTCTGCTCATTTCCTGTGAGCCCAGCCTATCGTTTACACCCTCCCCCACACCACCCAGGGGACATGTCAACACACAGACTGGGCTCACAGTACTCTAGAAGACTTCAGGGTTCTGTATCATTACAAGGTCCATAGGGATGCTTCGGAGGGTGAGGTGGGGCAAAAGGCTGGAGTTCCCCTTGAAGTAAACCCTTGCTGATCTAACAGATGGAATCTAATGAACATCTAGCAGGCGTGAGGCCAGCTCATGGAAGGGTTCAGGAGCAGGGAAGGGTATATTCAACATATTTTGTACCTTTGGAGCGGCCCACATACAGAGATCGGATGATGCAATCATGGAATAATGTCAGATGGTCCATAAACCTTCAATGTGATGGAACAGACACACAGACACGGAGTTACAGCAAACAGTCATGAGAGCGTGTTATAAAATGATGATGTCATTAGAGATCCGCAGAGGTAACCGACATGGACACATTGGGACTCTTATTAGAGATATTTCATGGTGACATGTATCAGAACATCGGGAATCTGGGCTACCTTCCGAGTGATGAGACAGAGTCAGGAGGCTGACACAAGATGCTCCGATACCGGAACCAAAAACCGTGATCCGGTGAGGGTCGCCGCCAAAAAACGCCACATTCTCGCTCACCCAACGCAGAGCCTGGATCTGATCGAGAAGGCCGTAATTGCCTTTAGCTGCCTGATCGCCCGTACTCAGGAATCCTGCAAAGAGAAGGAAATGTCACTCACACATCGGCTCACCTAAAGCTGCGCTCCGGGCGCACAGATCAGGTACATATATGGGGGGGGGA